ATTTTCAATTCGTTTTAGTTACTAGATTCATGGAATCAAAGTTGAAAGTGGTCTCCTTTAGTGGTTTAATTCAAAATTTCCGACGAGCATCCCAGGCAAGCCGGAAGGAACATGTGAAACAATTTTGTGAAACTTGCTGAAGATATCTACAAATAGAAAGTAAGAGGAAGCTGAAATGAGAGTAAATGCTGATGAATATCGAAAGTTCCAGAAAGCCCCAAATTTTAATGATTTATCCCGAGACTGTTATAATTTATTTGCCATTGAAAAGCGGCAAGAAATGAAAACGTTCGAACAAAACTGTGTCACCCTGATCCTGAGGCAAATTACAAGACTTTCATTTTTACACTGAGAGACAACTCTTTTATCTTCCGATGGAATTAACACAGATTAGCCTGAAGGTTCAAACACACACAAACGCTTTTTTAACCCGAATTTATGGTAGTTGCTTAGCTGAGTATCCATTCGCCGCGAAAACATAGATAAAAAAATTCTTTACTTGAGACAAAACAGGTAATTAAATTAAAGAAATTTTCGATTTCACATACACCCACAGGAATGAGTCTTCCTTCACAGCATAGCATTCAGTAACAGAATTCTCTTATGGGCATCTATCTCTTTTTCAATCTAATCACAACAAACTATGACGACTACGTCAGTTCACGAAGTTTCATCCACCTCTGACTTGGTAGAAGCTGCTGACTAGTATCGAGGAGAATTTCTGCTGTACATTTCGATCCCTCTTGGACCTGTCCCCTGTCCGGTATTTGATTCACAATTCTGTGAGTGTTTGCAGTTGAAGAGCCTTCGTTCACAGCAAAACATTTTTCGGAATTCGCTTCTGAAAGTGCGATTCATCCCAGCGTATATAAAAGGATTTATTGTATTTGACAGATAATTAAAGAAGCAAGCAAGGAGTTCAATATTTCGTGGCATCTTGTCAACGACATGGAGGTTCCTTGCAACAACGATCACCCAAAATGGGATCCAGCATATCATGAACGCGAACACAACCACAAAGAGAGACTTACTCAGCTTCAGTTCTTGCACGGTGATGCTTGAGCCTGTTGCGCC